GATCGACCATTGCATCCGAGCCAGTCCGTCAGTCATTATTTCAGTCATCTCTTTAATCATGCGGTTGTTGCTTTTGTTCTGGAAGCGTGGAAATTGGGCAGCATCTCCTTTGCACACATTCACACCTTGTCTCATAGTGTCATCGTGCCATTGTTTCTTTTTTTTTTTTTTTCGTCCTGCGTCTGCCATGGTGTTTGTTATGTGTGTGTGTACAGCGAAATCTTCTTTTTTCTCTTTCTTTCTTTTTTCTAGAAGTGGTACACATGGAGTGATGTTGTGGACCGCTCTTCTCCTAGTGTTGACTGGTACTGGTGAAGCAATGCAATAGTTCGCCTGAGCTCATATCATACTGTCATGCGTAGATCTTTATAATTTATTGTATTCGATAGAGGGTGGCGGGTCAGTGTTTCTCCTGGCTCACTTCTAGTTATACCATTGATCCGGAGACGGGAAAGAATTTAAGTAGAAGGAGTCCGAATTGTTGAGGGAAGAAGAAGAGCAGGCGAAGGAGGAAGAAGTCATTAGGTAAGGGGGGTATGTCGAGAGGAAGAGCGAGGTTTGTAAGGTTGTTGGGTTTTTTGGGGGGGGGGGAGGAAAAAGCAACCCCCACGCTTTCCTTTGAATTTTCCAAACCATCCTCAGGCTTCCTCTGGGGAAAACCCGAAAATCGGCATCTTTCTTTTCCCCGCTTTCACTTGCCTGGGGCCCATCCGCCGCCTACGGCTCGCCCAATGCTCCCAATGCTCCCACTGCTCCCGATGCTCCCACCTCCTCGCTCTCCGCAATTCTCGGATCCGCAGCCACTACCACGCCCATGTCCTCACCCTGACGAGTGTCAGCTCGCTTAAATGCCTTTGATATTTGCCGAGCGTGGAGGTGACGGTGGTGGTGGTGGTGGTGCTGGCGGTGGTGGAGGCGTCGGGATAGAAAAGGTGGATCGGGATCGGTCCCGTGGTCACCAGGTATGCTGTCTGTCTGTCTGTCAATTAGTCGGTCTGATTCGATCCCTTTGTTTCTCGTCAAGCTTCTTCAAAAAGGGAAGAATTTTGCCTCCGGCGACACCCGCGTCAGGTCCTTTTTCTTTCTCATTGAATGACGGATGGACGGTCCAGCCCGCCGCCGGGCAGACAGGACGGACCATGGACCATGGACCATGGGCTGATGGTCGCATTGGGTTGGAAGCCGAGATTCTTTCCCGATTCTCGTTTCGGGCTGGGTGGGTGATGCGCGGGGGGAGGGGGGGAGAAGGGAGTTTGGTGTGCTGTGCTATGTTGTTGGTCACTTGAATTATTGATTGATTGATTGATTGATTGATTGATTGATTGTGTAGAATAGGGAGAGTTTGAGACTTGTTTGTAAATGCTGAAAGCACTGCATCTGGGTTGAACCATTCGGACTGTGTGTATAGTACACTGTGAGTACGAAGTAGTAGATCAGGTAACCCGAGCCTACTTTCCCAGAATGCAAACAGTTGCAACGTCGGACGGCAACCCCCACGTTCTCTCCGCTTTTTCCCTTTCGGCTTCGTCTTTTCGTGTGTTCCGCCTTTTCGCCTTCTCTCGTCTTCCCGTCTCCATACAACAGACAACCTTGATCAACCACTGGCACTGATGCATCATCCACTACTGCATCATCATCATCATCATCATCATCATCGTAATCCTTGACATTAGTATCTCCTCCCTCGTCGGAATCTCTTCGGTAACCCCCACGCCCAGTCCTTCCCCCCAGGATCGATGCCGATTCGGTGTGGCATGTCTCCAGTCCGTCCCCCAGACCCTCTTTTTTCCCCGACTCTCCTCCATCCTCCATTCCATCAGTCTGGGGTGACCCCAAAAAAATCCCGGTTTTGCTGCCCGCTTCTTCGGCTCCTCCCACCATGCCCTGCACACAAAAAGGTTCCTGATCCCGACTTGGCTGGCTGCCCTGTCTTGTCTCTTACCCCCTTCCCTCTTCTTCTTCTCTCTCCTCTTGATACCCCTTCCTTTTTCTCTTTCACTGAGTTACTTTATTCTGTGATACTCGGGTCTTCAATCTGTTGCTTTTGGAGGTCAATTTATAGACTCCTTTCCCCAAACTAGGAGACGCAACATGTCTCCCAGGACCTCTTATGATCCCGAACGGGACATCGACAAGAGCCATGTCGACAACGTCGAAATCGTCCCCAATGCAGTGGCCAACGCCGACAAGCCCAATCCTCGCAAAGAGGCCCCGGCCTATGTCGCCAGTCTGTCGCCCGAGGAGCGTCAGAAAGCCGAACGCGCTCTGGTCCGCAAGATCGATTTGCGTCTGCTGCCTATGCTTATTATCATGTATATCTTGAATTACCTGGATCGGAATAATATTGTACGTGACCCGTGGCCCCTTCTTGCGATCCTTGTTGCTGATCACCTACTAGGCGGCTGCCAAATTGGCCGGTCTCGAGGAAGATTTGGGCCTGGTGGGAGTGCAATATCAGACTTGCGTCAGTATTCTGTTTGTGGGTTATTTGTTGATGCAGAGTAGGAGCCCCTCTTTTGTTTCTTTTTGCGTCGTTATGAATAAGTTCTGATTATTTAGTTCCGTCCAACTTGCTGCTCAACAAGATCGGTAAACCCGCTCTCTACCTCCCGGGATCTATGTTGCTCTGGGGTATTATCTCGACGTGCACCGCTGGCGCTCAAAGTTATGCTGGTCTGGTTATCGTTCGGTTCTTCTTGGGTTTCGTGGAGGCAGCCTATTTTGTATGCGTTCGCTCCTGGCAAGATCCGCAAAGGGTTTGCTAACTCTCTCTCTCTCTCTTAGCCCGGATGTCTCTACTTCTTGAGTGCCTGGTATACTCGCAAGGAACTTGGATTCCGTACTGCCGCGCTGTACTCGGGTTCTCTCCTGTCGGGAGCCTTCTCTGGCCTCATCGCTGCCGGCATCACGGATGGAATGGACCACAAAATGGGACTTCGGTCATGGTAAGTACACTCAAGCGAGCTTTATGTGCCCCTTACTGACTTTAACCAGGCGCTGGCTTTTCATTATCGAGGGAGCCATCACCATCGTTGTGGCCTTCTCCTCTGTCTTCATCCTCCCCAATTTTCCGCGTACCACCCCATGGCTCACCGAGGAGGAGAAGCAGCTGGCTGCTTGGCGTCTGGAGGAAGATATTGGCGAAGACGATTGGGTCGATAGCGAGCAGCAAACCTTCTTGCATGGTGTCAAGCTGGCTTTCACCGACATTAAGACCTACCTGTTGGTAAGTCAACCTACTGTCGAACCGAATCCTTCTGCTTATTCCATCGCTAATGAACTTAGATGCTTCTTATTCTCGGAATTGTCTCCTCTGCCTCGGTTACCAATTTCTTCCCCACTGTTGTGAAGACCCTCAACTACGGCAACATCGAGACCTTGTGTCTGACCGCCCCTCCCTACTGTCTGGCCGTCATCACCGCCTTCACCAACGCCTGGCACGCCGACCGGACCGGTGAGCGCTATTTCCACATCACCCTACCACTTTACATCTCCGTGGCGGCCTTTATCCTCGCTGCCGCCACCACGAGCGTCGCTCCGCGCTACGTGGCCATGATGCTCATGGTCCCCTCCTTCTACGCCAGCTACGTCGTGGCCTTGGGCTGGATCTCGAGCACCTTGCCTCGTCCGGCCTCCAAGCGTGCCGCGGCCCTGGCGGGCATCAACTGTATCAGTAACATCAGTAGTATCTACGCGAGCTACATGTACCCTGACAGCGATGCTCCGCGTTACGGTGAGTCTCTTGCACTCCATCCTGTGTTTCTTTTGCAGAGCCTAATAAGAGATATAGTCACCGCCATGTCCGTCAACTGCGCCACAGCCTTCCTGGCCATTCTCGCCGCGACGGCGCTCCGCTTCGTTCTCGTGCGATTGAACAAGAAACTCGACCGCGGAGAAGGCATCAGTAGCGGGGAGGTGCCTGGCCAAGCCAGTTCCAGAGGCTTCCGATTCCTGGTCTAAGATCTCTGTATCCTGGGACAGGGTGCCTGGACGTGTATATTTTTTGTTTTGGTCGGTTATGAGAAGGGTATATCATGAGAGTGAACTAGCTATAGCTGGCTATATGACTTGTTTTTATGATTCCAACAAGTCGAGTAAATATGATTGATTCTCTGTATAAATGCTTTTCTGTTGGCCAGTGTAAGTGTACCTCTGCCAGATAGAGCACGTGCGCTTTTTGGCTACGTATGGAAACCAGCAAGTAAGAATTCATACACTGGTAGTTATCGACCTAGTCGTGAACAAAAGCCTCCTGGCCCCATAGCCACAAACTGCGTTCCCAGCTGATTCCGGGACTAACCAACCACCCTGGTAGTGCTCGATGGTACTGTCTGTACAGTACTCAGCTGAAGTCTCCAGATGACACCTGCGCGCGCGCGCGCGCGAGAGAGAGAGAGAGAGAGAGATAGGTGGAAGATGCTTGGATTCTGACTACGTCAGGCTAACTGCGAAAAACTAGCCAAGGCTTCTGAGATGGGCGGTGAGCAAGCAATCAGGGCCGCCGTCACCTCCCTTTCTCTTGTCTCTTCTTCATATGAGGAGGAGGAGGGGGGAGGTTGGAGAAGAAGGCGATTAGGTCAGCTGATTCGCCTGATTGGGGGGGTCGCATGGTGTCTACAGGTATGGGGTTGCCTTGAACACCTCGTGTCTATCTCTCTTTTGCTTCGAATCCAAGAATAGACCGGAGGCATCAATGCCGAAGATCCAGGTCGACCTGTAGATAAGAGTGCTCATACTTTGCCGTAATGCTAGTCTAGCACTCAATGCAGACAATAGGTACACATTTAACGTTCCTCATTCTCATTCTTCATTCAAGCTAAGTATGCTTGCTGTACATCATCCCCCAAAACTACTTTCCTAGATACATCAAGAACACAAGACTGTACCTCCCAAAACTTGCCGCCGTTTAAGCATACTTCTCGCGCACCTCGGTCCACCCGGGCCGCAACTCCGCCGTCTCCAGCGCGGCTACACTCAACGAACTGTCGGCCACATAGTTTACGCGCCAGTCCACACTGATCCCGGCGCCGGCCTCAGTCTGCGCCCACACCGCCACGGCGATGGTGTTCTCGCCGTTGTAGTTCAGCACGCCCGCGGGGACCGGGTAGACGACCTGGTTGCCGATGTAGGGGAAGTACCGGCCGTACTGGTAGCCGTTGACGAACAGCTGGGCGCGGTAGGCGTTGCTGGGGGCATCGTCGGGGGTGCCGAGGACGAACGAGATGGAGACGTCCAGTCCGGTGGGGATCTGGAGGGGCACCGTGGTGCGGAAGAATTTAATGGTTGCGCCGGTGAAGGACAAGGAGGAAGAAGAGGACGAAGAAGCGACGGCCCACTTGCTGTCGTCGAAGTCCGGAAGGTGCCAGCCGACACGCTCGGCGAAGAGGCCGTCTTCGTTGTAGACGCCGCGGACGGGGTCGAGGTTGGATTCTCCGCCCGCGGTGCCGGCGAGGCGCCAGTGGGTGAATTCGGGGGCGGTAGAGGAGGTGTTAGACAACAAGCGCGCTTCGAGGATACCGCGGGGGTTGAGGACGCCGGTGGTCTCGTCGTGGCCGGTGTCGTCGTGAACGACGAGCAGGACGTTGGGGGTGGTCTTGGGGTCGGACGAGAGGTACTCGGCGGGGAAGGTGATGGTCTTGTTGGCTTGGGTGATGGTAGCGTTGCCGAGGTAGGAGCCGACGAACTGGCCGTTCAACCAGGCGGAGAAGCCGCTAGTTTGGGGGTTAGCTGGTTACTTTCTCTACGGGTAGAAGGGGTTAAAGGGAGGAGGGATGAGCTTACAATGCGTCTCCACCTTGAATGTTGAGGAATACGCCGGAGGCGGAGCTGTTGAAGTATCCGCGAAACAGACGAATGCCGTTGTGGAAACCTGTAGTCGTGATTAGTTGATTGTTGGTCTTGTACCAAGCCAGACTGCCTACCGTAGTCATCACCGTAAAGGACTGGAAGGGTCGCCGGGGGCTGGGGGTTGTAGGTCGTCATGTGGTCGGCCGCTTGAGTTCTGTTAGGCTGTGACCTAAAGTAGATCGGGGTCGAGTATACATACCAACCCAAGCAGCACCAGTATCATCATATGATACACTACGCTCAGGCAAGCTGTCGTTCGATCTCCAGGATGTGAAAGCTGGAAGAGTAATAGCCTTTGGAGCAGCCAAAGAGGCTCGCAGACTACCGTGGGCAGTCTTGGTCGACTTGATCTGCTTGCCGTTCCAGGTCAGGCTCTTGACCTTCTTGGAAGCGAAGACCTCAATCTCCGTAGCGTTGACCGCGTCACCCTTGATTTCAAGAGTGTTGCCATCTTCCTTCACGGAACGGACAAGGTAGGGACCTTGGATGAGTACTATAAAGAAGTCAGTATTCTGCAGACGATATGCCGAGGTGAGCTTTCCATACCTGTCTCGTTGGCAGGGGCCAAAGGATTCTCGGTCAGGGTAGGGGCCCAGAAGAGATAGGCTGCAGTCCGATCCAGAAGAACCACGCGCAGCTTGTCGTCGATCTTCAGCACACTCATTCCCGCGGACTGAGTGAAACTGACGGTCAGACTGCCTCCCTGCCGCTTGAAGGTCGGCTGAGAGCATTTCGCACACTTCGAGAGGACGGATCCAGACTTGGCACCCTTCACAGCGAACTCTCCAGACTCGCCGGTCGGCACCCAGAGGACAAGGGTCGGCTCGTTGTCGATGACCGAGTAGGTAAGCACTTCGGCCGTAGAGTACAGCAGAGTCTCCGAGCCGAGATTAAAGTCCGTGACAATTATCTTGGACTGATGTCCATCGATTCTGATCTTGCCTCCGTTGCGGGGAACGATCAGGTTTCCAGCCGACGTATTGAGGTGCAGCTTGAAAGCTTCATTCGTGTCCGAGGTGGAGTCCGCGTGCCGCGTCACGTAGAATGCCGCATTGGTCTCCGGGTTCCGAAGTTCATAGGTAGTGATAACGGAGTTGTCGGTGTACTGGGTTCCATTTCCGACCAGGTCCGTCATGGTCAAGTCGCCGGCACTGCGGGTGAACAGCGACAGCAGCTTGGTCTCGTAGTACTTGGAGCCAATTGAACGATCCTCAGAGATGGGTGCGGAGTAGTCATAGCTGGTCGCGGTCACAGGGGTAGCGATCGAACCCCAGTTGGTTCCTCCGTACAGCATGTACAAGCTCATGGCGGTGACCCGCTGCGCGATGTTCCACCGGTAGAAGAGGTTGACAAAGTCCGCACCGGTATCGTCGCCGCATCCACCTTCGGGCCCAGCCCATGGGTTGTAAGAGCCGCCCTGGAATTCGGGGAGGAATGAGGGCATGTGGGGTTGGAACTCTTGGAAGTAGGTATAGTATTCGACCAGCTGATAAGGAACATAGGCGCCGTTGGTGGAGTCGCACACGCTAGTATCGCATGACCAGCACTAGATTGGTCAGATTGGTAGAAAGATACATATCGGAGATAAATCACTTACGGAAGGGTAGGAATCAACACCAGTAACGTCAACATTGCCTCCAGCATCCGACCAGTCACTGGACCAGGACTTCGCATTCATGTTGGGATCATTGAAGGTCAATGGAACTGTGATGCCATTGTCGCGTGCGCTTGCCTCGAGGAGCTCCATATAATCAATGGCAGTCTCATTGGGAACCCTCTGGCTCGGGTCGGTAAGCCATTGGTCACCGTACTCGTTCTCGATCTGGTAGCAGATTGTGTTGTGGCCATTGGTAACCTGGTAGCGACTGGTGATCTGAGAAACCTCATCAAAGTATGGCTTCCAGGCATCCGTATACCGCGAATCATTGTTCCGCAGGGTTCCGTATTCACCGGAGGTCAACCAGAGGGGGAACCCGCCAGCATTGGCCTCCGCGTTGACGTACGGTCCGGGACGGACGATGATGTACAGGCCGAGCTCCTTCGCAAGATCGAAGATCGAGGTGATGTTGTGAGCGCCGGTGGAGAAGTCAACTGTGTGGTTGTTCGGGGAATGATATCCCCAGCTGGTGTAGATGGAGAAACCGGTAAAGCCAGCAGCCTTGATCTTCTCCAGAATGTCCCTCCACAAGCCGGGAACGGGAATGCGCCAGTAGTGAAACTCGCCAGAGAATACAAAGACTCGCTGGTCATTCACATGGAAACTGTAATGATCCCATTGAACGTCGGTGGTCAGTCCATTGTTGAAGACTTCCCACCCCTCAGCAGTCTGGTTCTGAGCAGCGGTCAGCAGACCTGAGTTTGCCAGCAAAAGCGAAATTGGCAAGAGTAATCGCGCCATGGCTCAGACCATGCACCTGTCTGCGCGGGCAAGACAAAGGCAAGGCAAGAAAAAAAATGTGCTTGGGAGAGAAACATTTTCTTTGAACGGCCGCGACCAGGCGCCCTCAATTTATACCCGGTTCCTTCGCCAGGCAGGTAGGAACCCCACGTCACCAGAATTTTTGCATCGTCAACAGGACAGAAGCTACTAGACACCGGAATTGACTTTTGGCGTGGGCATTGACGGAAAACCGAAGGAGAGAGAGAGAAAAAAAAAGTCCTCTCGAGCTCAACTTGGTAAAAAGCTCAGCTTTGCTGGGGAAACAGGAAAGAGGACCAAACGACCAAATGACCAAACGGACCCGACATTGTCCACTTAACTCCACTGGCGGAGGCGGGAGACGGTAAGCGATTGGGCCCAAGCGAGGACATTTAATATGTGGTTGATTAGGTCGCTCATGCGATGCACTAGAGCCGTTGCGCGTCTCCAAACTGGTAAATGAAGAGGCGCAGAGCTTCTCTGCCGCGTGCTTTCGAGCAAAGAGCCCAAGGCGAGATGAGGGATGTGGGGAAAGGGACCAGGGTCTGAACCATTGCCGGCTCGTCATAGCCACCCAAGTCCGGCGGGGAGACGGCTGTGGGGAAATTTAGCCTGGGGGTTTTTCCTCCAGTCACCGTCCACGCCCGGCCTGCGATTTCGCCGGAGGCTGACTTCTTCGAATAAGAGGGGGAGGGGCCGGTCATATTTCTCTTGATTGAATGATTGTTTATCTTGCCGACCTGGCAAATTGTCTTATGATGTGTGGACCTGCCCTGGAAGGATGAGCCTCGGTTCCAATTTCCTCACCATTGTGTGGAAATCACTCCCATCGCAATCAATGCAGATCAAATGACCGACAGCGACGATAGCATCGCTGCAGAAGACTGAGTCCGACTTCGACCGGATCGATGCCAATAATGGGTTGCATCCTGGGAGCTGGGAGCGAGTTATACTGGAAAGTTGAAAGGAGGGAGAGAGACTCTGGCATGGAGGCAGCGGTATCTGAGCAAAGGGTAGGCGGTGGCTCACTTGACCGCCCTTTTCTCAACTCAAAACAACAGAGGAACGACAAACTACGAGAACATTTCGAAAGTCTTCCATTCTCAGACATGATACTGATTCGTTTGTTCCATTGTTCCGATCTGATCTTGCTTATTTGGTCAATAATAGCTATTCACTTTTCCGCATCCTACCCAGAGACTCCCAGCGAGAACAAAGCCCAGACCCACCTGCAAATGACGCCCCCAATATGTACACCAACCAAAACAAAGCATTGAACGGCAAAAGGACAAAATTTGTTATAGACAAGAATAGCAAAGAGCTGCAACCCAATCCCCCATCGCAAGCAAGAGACGGGGCTGGAATAGTATACAACTGAGCGTGGGGAAAGTGCGAAAGCAGCCACCAGGTAACCAGCTCCCGCACAGCTTTGGGCGCAGCGTGCGGGGATCCATCGCACCCGAGTCGGTCGGGGCGCAATCGCTGATTCATCCTCGATGGTCTGCGCGGCCGGTCCAGAGATCCAGAGCGGCATGAATTCTGAATTCTGACAAGAGAGAACCGCAAGGAAGAAATTGAGCTGAGATAAGCGACAACCTCTGGTGAAGCCGACTTAGAGGATTTGCGCCATCTAGCTCGTCGAATACTCCTCGAAGCCGAACTGAGGTAAAAGGTTTTCTCGAAGAGGCACCAGTGCTCAAATTCCCGAGCCTAGGCAGATCGATCCAGAACCTCAAACGGGTTGGAGTCCTTGGCGTCGACCACAGGGGGGGCCTGCAATTCTTCCTTGGTGGTCTTCTTGGCGCCCTTCTTGGAAGGGACAGTAGAGAAGCCCTGGTCGGAGTCCGCATCGCTGGAGACAGCGCGGGCCTTCTGCTTGGCAGTGGTGGCGCGTGTGCGAATGGGCGAATTTTCGACAGCCGACTTCTGCTGAGACTTGTTGTGCGAGCGGAGAGCCTGAACGCGGTTGAGGGCCTCATCCTCGGTGCTCTCGCTGGTCTCTCCATTCACCTCGACTGCCTTGCGGATTTCGCGGCTGACACCCTTCAAGGCATCCAAGCCAGCCTTCTCAGCGGCCTGGATGTTGCTGGGCTGGCGAGCGCCCGGCTCCTTGCGATACAGATAAGACCGGACAAAGAAACGAGCGAAGAGGTAAGTCAAGGGGAGAAGGTACACAACGTTGAGCCAGATCGCGAAACCCTGTCCGGTAGTATCCATGCAAGTGACCATGGGACCAACACGGTGGGGTTGCACAGGAGCAGCAGCAGGGGTGTCAGGAACTCCCACGTTCTCGGCAGGGCCTTCCGCACCTGCAGCCCGGAAAGCAAGCTTCTTGATCCAGGGCACCAATCCCTCCTCCGCAGCTTCGGCAGCCACAAACTGGACAGTCGAAAGGGGCGCTTCGAAAGCACCCTGGCTGGCTGGGAGTGTGTAACTGATGAAGAGATAGGAAGCAGCCATGGCAGAACCAATGACGAATTGAGTGATCTGCATAGTGGTCAAGGACCTCTTGATCACGGTAGGGACACGGATACGCAGAGCGGTGATGGTATAGTAAGTATACTGTGCAATACGTCAGTCAGCGCTAGGCGAGCAACCCTGTGAAAAGATTTTTGGAGGTACGTACCATCAAAGCGTGAATACCGGAGTTAACCAAGGTGAAGATCCAGATAGGAGGCGCAACATAGCGAATACCAGCCCACATGCACATCATGGCACCAGCATGGTGGTAAGTCTGCAGCGTAGAGCTCTTCTTACCCTTGGCGAGGATGATCACGGTGTCCAAAACTTCGTAGAACTTGGACAGATAGAAGATCCACCCAAGGAAGGCCAGTCCCTCGTTCCACAGGCGACCAACATCCGTGAAGTCAGGCACGCCCGTCTCAGCCAGCTTGTATTCCGGGTTCCGAATGGTCCACTGCTCGACAGAAGGATCGTAGACAGCGGCGTTACCATAACCGCGCGGGCCATTGACCTTGCACAGAGTATCTGCGACGGCTGCGACGTAGTTGGGATCATCGTGACTGGGCCACGAGTTGCGGAAGGCGCGGATCATGCCGGCGAAGGTCCACGCGGAATAGATAGCCAAGAAGACATTGTGGAGGATCACGAAGAGCTTGAAGAGCCTCGTTTGACTGAATCCCCAGGGTTTGTAACCGCGACTCTTGTTAACCTGGTTCAACAAGATGACAGTGACGGCGTAGACGCTGGCGATGGTGATGGGGACGCGCACGTCCAGGAGCTGGTTGTATAGTTCGGGAGGGATGTTGAAGGGCTGGTACCAGGTCGGTTCGGAGGTAATAGGCGCAGGCAGCGTAGCAGGAAGCTCACTGGGAGGGAATTGTAGAAGAGAAGAAGGAGGGAGTCCGAACCGAATGACAGCCGGGTTCGACTGGCCATCGACGGTGATGTCGACCATTGTGACGCAATCGGGAGCGGACAATGGTGTATAGGTATGTATAGAGAGGTAGATGATGGTTGTGATCACAAAGGGAGATATGGTAGTGCCTAAGTGAACAAGAGGGAGGAATTGAGCAGATAGTTATGCCCTAGTCACGTCCAATGGCACTGATAATGGGGTAAATGGGGAAGCTTTTCTCAACAGTCCACGTCCTTGACCCCAAAAAAGGGAAGGAAGCCGGCTTTGGAAAAAAAAAAAAAAAGTTCTCGTGGAAAACCACACCCGCAATACTAACTTAGCACAAACTGCTAGGGCCCCAGGCGCCAATCAATCCGATAAGAGTTCGGATAAAGGATCAATTATTTTGTTATTGCATCAACCCTGTTAATCCTCGGGATATGCAATGTGGGAAGAGAAGAGGATATTTAAAAAGAGCAATGACGAAGGTTAACCAACAAAATAAAAAGGGAGGAGATCGTCGTGGGCGCCTGGGAGGAAAGCAGAGGCAATTATCTCTTTTCAACAGGTGAAACTTGGGACTACTCAGAAACAGTCAAGAGGTCAATAATATCCATTATCCAGTCACTTTGATCAATTCCAACTTCCATTCATCGCAGCTCCGACCTGTCGCCGGACTGAGCCAAGCAGGATACCCAGATAAGGACAAATGGGAGCAACGACAAGGGCATTAAAGTGGAGCCATGATGCGTTTTGTTGGGAATTCGGTCGCCCTTCAAAGCCTCGGCCCAACAAAGGCAGGCAGACTTCAATGCGCGCAATAATTTTTCTGGAGAGGTCCGGTATGCTTGTGATTGTGATTAACGCCAGCATCACACCTTATTTGGGATTCTGGGGGAGGTCCGGCCACTCCCTGGCAAGAAATTGTGGTCGGCAACCAAGGGATGCTTTGTAGGAGTAGGAGTTGTTGTAGTTCCAGAAGGGGCTGAGAATGGAAGCTATCTTCATAGTCTTGTGAGAGCCTAAGGCACCTTCCCCGTTCCTGCATAAAAGAATCCTTTCCAGTTTCTCTTCTCTTCAATAAGGAGGAGTGTTTTGCGCCTCGGTTAACCAACCAGCTCAAATGAATAATTCTCTGACCATTTAATGACGCCAATGGTGGCCACCATTCATCCATGTTCACGCTCCCCGCAATCAAGCCATTGACGGATGAACAATAACATACAGTAACCACCATTTCAAATCTAATGACATCAAGTAGACCTCATCAAGAATTAATTGCGTTTAGGCAGCCATGTAAGGCGGTAAACAGCGGCAATATTCATTCTTCGAACTTGAGTCAGCATGACCCGCCGACGTCATTGCCTCTCCCTTAGTTACTGGCTATACTCAATCGGATTAGTACGCTTGGGCTACTCCAGCATCTGTCATCCATGTTTCTTCTAGCCTAGAACCTTATATACAGTTGAATGTAGAGAGAACGACTGATATCCAGCAATCACGACGAGATTTGCTGAAGTACATGTGCAGCAGCACGAGCACATCGCGCATAGAATAACCGGCTAGTGTTACATATAAACATGATAGTCACCCTTCGCTCAGCGGGGTTTGGTGTTAAACGGAACAGGCGGCGGCGCAGAACCCGTGCTATTGACAGGTGTTGATCGCATGCCCGCCTTCTTTGGAGGCGGCGGCGGCGGAGCCTTTCTCTGGCTCAAGGAGTCAATGCTTGACGAGGAACGATGTACAACCGGGTGCGGGGGCACCGGGGGCACCTGAGCACTTGGGGACTTCTGATCATCGAAGAATTTGTTGACCCGCTGCGAGATTCCGTATCTCTCATTGAGTCCGTTTAGCCTTTGTTTGCCGGCATCGATTTTGTCACCATGTCGCTCGCGAAAGTCGTTGAGCGACGCAGAACCACTCCGTGCGTGAGTGGCAGAAACAGGCGATGATTCGTTTGCGTATGTACTCCCTCGTGCTGGTGGAGGAGGTGCTGGGGAGGAGGATGTAGTTCTCAACTGAGAAAAGCGTGACTGGAGCTCATTGACCGGAGCTTGACCAACTGGGCCCGCAGTTGGTGGCGAAGCAGCGCCGGAAGGCCTGCTATCACTCCCAATTCCGAGAGCAGGCACCGAGATACCGGATCGAGAGAGATTAGAAGTGGCATTCTGATTCAGGTATCCTTCAAGAGGTTTAGTTGTTGACGGCTGTGTGGAATATGCGGGAGGCGGAGTAGGCGAATGCGAGGATAGTGTTGAGCTGGCCCGGGACGGAAGTCGAGGTGGAACACTGGGTTTTGGTTTGGAGCTTGCAGATGTCACAGAGTCCACCGGAGAGTCCACGCGCCTGACTGGGGGCGGGGGTAGGTTGGCGGTATCTAGTCCTGTCCGGTTCACTCGATATGGTAGGGGAGGAGCTGCTGGCGTCTGAGCCTCATCGTTTCGAGCTTGCTCCTCCTCCTGTTGTCGTGCGTGTTGTTGTTGAATCTGATCTTCTGATAAGGGGGCACCCAGGCCTCTCCGATCAGGTGTGAGTTCGTTCGGGAGCGCTCCGGCGCCGTGGTATTTGATGTGCTTCGGTGGTGGTCCAAAAGAGGCGGGATCCTTCAAGGATGAGAGTGGTACGGCGACATGCTCTTCACGCTCGTCCTTGTCCTTTCCTTTACCCATCCATCCGGCCTGAATGTTGGAGCGTTGGTCAGCACTAAGCTCAACTGCGTCATCGGGAGCAGACACGAACCACTTGATTGATGCCTTTGAAATCATTCCTCCAGCCTTCCTTCTTCCCCTCTCGGCCTTTAGGGTGCCAGCCCTCTTTCATAACCCCTCTGAAGCCGCTCATATCGACTGGTGAATGTAGAACTGACAGTATCTATGTGAACCTAAGCAGAAGGCACGCCGATCATTGAAATGGCAGCGGTGGTTGATAAGAGCCAGACGGATGCGGTCGGGGCAGGAGCGGAGCCCAGCCCACGCCTGTCCGGATTTGGCTAGTCGAAAACCTTCCACCATTTTGAGGTCTGCCACAGTCACGTGCTGGTATACTCATCTAGTCGGCTTTGTACGAAACGAACAGTGTACAAATATGGTGATTGTAATGCCATGAAACGAGGTATAGAAATGGTTACTACTTTTGTACAAGAGCTCTCGTTGCTTTTTCCCCAAGAGGGTTCCAGATTCTGCAGTCACGACAAGCAGGTTCTGGGAAAGCTCATGCCTGGCCTATTACATACTACACCCTTGCAATGACTATAAAAGATGTAGTCTGGTCAGAAGTACTCGTACATCGAGTTAAGTCAGAGATCACAGGGAACAGAGTCTCAGTGATGACGACGATCGATGATTCTTGTTAGTGAGAAGTTATGTCGAATTTGAGGAAGTGCTAGGAAAATATATTCCGCGTGGGCCTAGCGCCAGCAAAATCCCTCTCAAATAGAACTAACTATGGCCAATCGTCATTTTCACTTTCATGTTGTGGGCAGGAGGAACCCAAGTTCCCTCTCGAAGCCCCGCATGTGACAAGGCTCTATTTGTAATCGCGATTATCAGCCACCAAGCGGGGTATATGTATATAAGTGACTTGTACCTTCCAAGTGAAGAGAGGATGTTCGTCGACAGCCACAAAAAGTATACCGCCAATTGATCATGGCGCAGACCAAAGTACTTTTGACAGGGGCCACTGGATTCATGTACGTCTCATCTTGAAAGAGCGTCGTATGAGACTCTAACGCGATCATTGCAGTGGAGGAACTGTACTGCATCAGTTGCTCCAATTGGCTGAGACTCAACCCGCAAAGCTATCCATCACGGCTGTTGTACGTCGCTCAGAGCAAGCAGATCTCTTGGCTAGCAAAGGGGTTCAAACGACCCTTGTGTCTGGTCTTGATGATGCAGACGGACTAGCACGAGCGGCGAGCAGCCATGATATCGTTGTTAATGTTGCGACCGGCTTCCACGTTGCCGCCACCAAGGCACTCATACAGGGTCTCAGCAAGAGACGTGAGCAGACTGGTCGAAATGTCCACTTCCTTCATGTGAGTAACTGTGTCCGCTGTTACTCACAGTATTCTTCAAGGAAAGCATATTGACAGAGCAATCTTGGAACTCCTCAGCTCTCAGGAACAACCTGCGTATCCGTCCCATCTATCACATCATCCCCATTCGAGTTGCGAACATTTTCCGATCAGGATGATGATATATTCGATTATGAGCAAACGCGCGACTCTCAAGAAGCCTACGCGCAGAGAACGGCCGAACTTACAGCCATACAGACGAGTGAGAGCTTGGGGGTCAAGGCGTACGTTGTCATGCCCCCACTCGTCTATGGCCGGGGTAGCGGGTGGTTCAAGAAGCAGTCACACCAAATCCCCACACTGATCAGGAATGCAATTGCATCTGGCTACGCAGAACATGTCGACACCGGCGAAGCGCAGCTGGGCCATGTTCATGTAGAGGACCTGGCTCGTCTCTATGTCACGTTAGTGGCGAGAATACTGTCCAGCGAGGAAATTCCCTATGGCCGAAATGGTTACTACTTCGCCAATACTGGGTCTCATAAGTGGCTTGATGTGACAAGCCGGATAGGCAAAGCAGGGTATGACATGGGCGTCTTGAAGTCAGCTAGCCCGAGATCGATAAGCCTTGAGGATGCTGCAGAGAAACTTGCCGATGGAGACTTGGGTTACGCGGAAGCGTGCTTTGCTTCCAAGTGAGATTCAACTCTTCAATTCCAAACTGAAAAAGATCTGACAGAACAAAACAGCTCTAGTACTAGACCCGATAAGGCTTTCGCGGTTGGATGGAAGCCCTCAAAGACCGAGCACGACTGGGAGAACTCCATCAAGTCGACCTTCGAGGATATATTGCAGGAACAATGAGGGTCGCGCCTCGACTCGAGCCAAAGCTCAGGATGCTAGTTGGCGACCGTATTGAAGGCTTCGTGCCGCTGCGCCGCTCGGAGCTAGGTCATGCACCTGAGATTTGTTTTAAGGGAAGTCGCCAAGCAGTGGGTGAATGTGGATATTGTCCTTCAGCATGCAAAGCTTATCCATTTGACCCCACTTGTCCATGTTCGACAAGGGGCAGGGGTGCTGGGGGCACTCCGTATCCTCAAAGCTAGCACTGGCTTTGCGGCAGGGTTCAGGGCTCGTACACTTGTCGATGCTGGGAAAATCTAGGGGATGTGCAGGCTACGACATGATTTGTACACGATCAGATGTAAATAAACTTCGATGAAGAAATATAATCACGAGGTGGAATTGCCGGCGCATGATCGTACTGCACGTTGAGCCAAGATTCTCAGCAAACCAGTCATTGAGGATCACCGTGATCACTATCCATAGAGAAAAGCGATAGGAGACCTCGATGAATGGAAGCGGTAACTGCCTGGCGGCGATAACGCGAGGCGGAAATTCAAGGGGTGGAGGCAGGTGGGATGCAGTGGGATCTTAAAATGGTCACATATAAGCCTCGACTCAAGCTTTGTGGTGTCCCGGTCATGTTGTGAAACGCTCGGGATTACCCAAGTAACGGTCGATCATGAATCGCAGGGAATAAATGAGGGGAGAGAGAAGGCAAGTGCCCTCCGATCACTGATTTGTTCTTTTTATAAAAGGGGGGGATTAAGCTATGCCTGGGCGAAAGAACTGTGCTGCCTCGATGCGGATCATGGGATCCATCATCCATGCCAGTGGGATATGAAGGTTCCTTAATTTGCCCGGGCTGTCTGTCATCCATAGGAAGAATAGGCAGTCGGTCCGGTAAACTTTGGAACTTAGCGGGGGCGTACGGTGGGGAGTGGTTTTTGGCTGGTTTGTCTTCCCGCTCGGCTTCTGGAAGCCATGCAGCATCGCCATTCCCTGCCATTCTCATCCGTACTTACTCCGTACATTCATTCTACTTGCTCATCCGATGAACCTCATTCCTCAAGCCAAGAACAACTTGCCCTCTTCTGGAATCACACCTGAGCAAATAGTCATATGACAGGCACGTTCAACTTTTAGATTATTCTTCTACAGCTCTATGTCCAATTATAACGTCCCTACAACCAACTGCCCGGTCGGGAAAAGAGACCACCCATCGGAAGTACTGCCACTTAGTACTTAGGTTGCTCTCGATCATTACTGAGCACGATTCCATTCGTCGAGTCAAACCATGCTCGAAAGTCATATCCCTAAAGCTCTGACACTGGCTCATGAACAATATATTGTCACTCCCTGCCACACCAGATAGCTTGTCACATATTGCCGGCAAGTTCGGCGGAGTGCATACGTCAACTGTTCTATCGGTGGCTGGCTTTTAAGACTAGATGCCCCGAGTCGATTCATTGGCTTAGAGAACAATCACACCGCTTGATACTTATCAACATCTATTAAGCACCATCAAAGCTCTGTTTGGGAATCTCTCCGTGGCTAGCGGGTCTCTTACGACCCTGTCTCATATGGCAGAAACATGCTTGATCGAATAGCGCACGGATTACCGTACTGCCTGGATGGATATCTGTCATCAGGCCACCGATTTTCCCACGTGCCAAAGGTAGAATTTGAGTCAGAAAACGTGGGATTTTTGGGGGCGCGAGGATCGCACAGTTCCAACCCTGCAAGGATGCATCTACAGGGAGAGCTCTTGCGTTACCGGGGGAGGTTGAAGTGCATGTAAGAACTAAGCTGGGGCCGGAAGGCTATGTTTGGCGTCCTCTCGGACAGACCGAACTGCTGCACTGACTTCGTCTTTCAAGGTTCGTCGAAGGGATATGGAGCAGATACTTTGAAAAAAGTCTTAACGAAAACATCGGGGCTTCTCCTTTCTTCTACTGAGTCAGTTCGGAGCACAGTGGATGGAGAACAATTAATCTCTGGCAGTTAGTGCGCCGTTCCGCACCGAAACACGTACTCCGACCTGTTTCCCGCGAGACACTTGAAAAGTGACCGACCGGGTGGAAATCTTCCTGTCAAAGCGCCCCCACCCGCTATCGATCATGCTAAGAACCAGAGGACTGCCTTTGGCCCCCCGTGATGAGTATACCATCCACATAATGGAAGCTCACAGGCTGGATCGCTTGTGCGTATTCTAGAATGTCTACCTTGCAGAGGATCGGAGAAGCAAATCAGCCCCAGGGTTACTGTAATATTGCATCATGGGTTAGGGCTAGGCTCACCCACTGTGCTTTGGGCCATGTGGTTCGGTCTCTATATTAACGGCCAGTTCACCTGGCCCCTGATCGATGGATCAAGGAACAAAAGCTAGTCGGACCCCCGGATTGTCCCACTGTCCTCTTCAACTTGAGCATTGCTCGTCCCACGATGCTTGTGGGCATGCTCCATCGATAAAGGACCTGGATATGTCGGACCTCGTCGGTCTACCGCCAAAAGGCACCGACCTCACAGCCAACAATGAATCCAAAAATGACGCCATCGTCGCGACAATGTACACTTTGGCTTGCATCACAATCAGTGTCCGGTTGTTCTCTCGGATAAAGGTGCAGCAGGCTCGCATAGGCTTGGATGATTGGCTGATCGTCGCAGCGCTGGTACATTCCCAATGTTTTCTACTTACTTGACCTCCACTGATGACTTGACATAGCTCTCTGGAACGGCGAATATGATTAGTGCTGTAGTGGGTTAGTGGCTTTCATGTCTTCTCATGTGATCATATGCTAACTATACGTAGGGGGAAAATACGGCGTCGGCAAGCACATCTGGGTAGTAAACATGGACGATATCGTCGCCATGGTGAAGGTCAGCAATGTTTCCTGCCGCATAAATGAAATAATGGACTGACTTGGAAACATTACTTAGGTTCTGTTCGCCAATGTCCTCCTATACGTGACCACTGTCACGCTCATCAAACTCTCGATTATCCTGTCCTACCGGCGCATCTTCGGCATGAGGTGGACCATGTGGGCTTGTATAGTCCTAGCTCTGAGTTACTGGGTCGGCTGCACCATTGCGTTCCTGGCGGCCTGTCAACCTGTCTCTTACTACTGGACCAAATACCTGGACCCGGAAGGGGGCAGAGAGAGATACAATCTATACGCATTCTACATTGGTCACGCAGTCGCAAACATGGTCGGTGATATAGTCATCTTGCTGGTGCCTGTTCCTCTGGTCTGGAGACTTCAGCTGCGGCGATCGCAGAAGATCCAGATCTTAAGTATCTTCCTCCTAGGCGGATTGTAAGTCTTTGCTTCTTCCACTGCCATGCCTTTCGACAGAGTGTAACTGACGGTTTACCCATCTGACAGCGTCTGTGTGGCGAGTGCGATCCGGATCTACTACTTCACATTCGTCAACAGCGTCGATGTGACCTGGATTCTGGGCGATGTCTTCATCTGGTCGAGCATTGAGCCCTCCATCGGCATTTTCTGCGCTTGTCTTCCCGTTCTACAACCACTCTTCCGAACCATCCTTAATCGCATGCTGGGCACACCTGCTCCCGTCAAGCCCAAGCCCCGCAGCACTGGTCCACCTAAAGCCGTCCGGTACGCGCCCAACATCCTCAGCAAGATCCAAGGTGGAGATGAGAGGATCGCTCGTCGCGACGAGGAAGCCATGCTAACGACGACATCGGCGCATCTTGAGCTCGACAGTATAGGGAAAGGCCGCCATAGCGATGAGGAGGCCGGCCCTATGGATCTTCTGTCTATCACGATACAGAAGGAGTTTCATGTCCGGGAAGAGCATCGATAAGGCTGGTATGATGACAAAAGCGCAATCATAGAGAGGGGGATGGCCAAGTGCTTGGTCAAGATCCCGTTGTTATTCTTGTTGAGTATTTACTGTACATAATGTTTACTTTTGCACAGGGCTGGCGTTTTCTTTTGCGGCACCGGAGTCTGTGTGGACAGCGGAGTTCGATCTGTGAAGCTCTCATTCAGTTAGACATTTACAAAAACAATCATGACTTAATTCTCTTTTCAAGGACGCGATTCTCACATTCCCTTAAAGACAGGTAGTTCTCTTTTCATTTTATTTTATTTTGATGTTATGTTACTCAGTAACCGGGAGTGAGCTGACATCTTGACGAGAAACAGAGTCTCACCAAAAGGAAGAAGCAACAAGGGACCTAGTAGTATCTGCAGGCTGTCTGCACATCGGCCCGAAATCCGATTCGGCTTTGAGAGTCCCCGACTGGGGTCGGCATGCCGACATGCACGTTTCCTGTGGGGTCTATGCAAGTCAACTGCCACGAGGTGAATACTCATCTTTTGGCCTACTATACCCAATCTGGCCGTGTTTATCCCATAAGCGAGCAGTCGTTACATAGTAGGGCGAAACACATAGATGTAGTGAGCTTTACACACCTTTCTTGTCCATTTCATCTTCCTGTCATTTTCTCCTGGTGTTTTGGACTTCATCTGTGCAGCTCTTCTCACATGTCTCCCTTACCGTCTACCATCATATCGCCAGTGAAGCTACAGACAGTCTATCTTCGCTGCACCAAGTCACTTCCATATCACTTTTCTTTTACATAGCCCTGCTTCCTTCTCTCGAGTCTTTCCCAAAGGTCAAGCCCAAGGATATCACCTTCATCTCACCCAACCCTCCCAACAAGCAGAGTTAACCCTCACTACAGATCAGAACATCCCCTCAGCCCGCAGCCCTCAGCCCGCATCCTCCCCTCACTCCCAGGGCATCCAAAAGCCACTTCCCCGCCACCGACTCGGACCACAGGTAGTCATGAAACCCCCCGGCCAAGCGTCGCTCGTTGAAATAGCCCTTAAGTCTCGAAGGGGACTGGACAGACTGGCCGCTCGCTTCGCAGATCGCGCCCCACACGCCTTCCATGTCCACCGGGTGCAGTTCGCGGCCTGGCTGGAGCACTGGAGCGTGTTGGAGACCGACCGGGTGGACATGACGTTGGACTACCAGGTACGCAACAAGCTCGAGGCGGGGAGTGAGCTGCACAGCGAATTGCGGTTGATGCTGTCGAAGATTTCCTCTTGTGAGTTCCTTCCTAACCTTGACCGGAAGGTTTCAGATGTGAAGGGTTTGAGAGATAGGAGGGTTGTGCTAATTGCGGCATGGGCTCAGATCGGTTACAGTTGAGGACGGCTTTGAAAACCGTTGAGAATGTTGAGGCTTTGGAGGTTGCTGTTGTTGGTGCTGCCATCGCTGCTATGGGAGTAGATGATGCCTGGTATTCTTCCGATTCATCAGAGGCAGCCGACCTGGACGCCGAGTTCGCCGAAGAGCCGCGTCACAGGGACTGCGAGGACCCGTTCACCAACCTCCTGAAGCTCTGCCGCTACGAGCTCTGGCATCTGATCCGGACGCTGGACCGGAACACGGCTCTCTTCGCCCAGTCCAGCATGTATGCGCCAAGTGACCTGCTGGTCCACCACGCCAACTACATCGTCTGCGACGAATGGGATCGGGAGGTCACCGAAAGGTTCGAGGCGATGGTCTGCCGCGCCCTCCGCTACCGCTGCAAGGTCCATAACAAGGTGCTCCAGGCCCGACTGGGGAAGATGGTCTGCGATCGTCGCAGGGCGTTGAACTATCACAGTCGGTCCCAGGATGACTCCCCCATGCACATCCCCAGGCAGAACCTGAACCCCGTCACCTTCGTGTTGGCCATGCGGGACGCAGCACAGGAAGAGCATCCCCCTCCTCCCCCTCTCGCCCCGGGCCAGGAAGAGTTCGAGTGTCCGTACTGCCGCTTCAAGCTGCCAGCAGCTCGGTACGCCTCGCATGATGCATGGAGGTGAGTTTCTTTTGCCTTCGCCCCTTCCCCCAGTCCATCTTACCTTGCTAACACCCCGAGGCAAAATCAAGAAAACACGTCCTCACCGACCTGGAGCCCTACATCTGCATCTTCGACGCCTGCACCGAGGAAGCCAACACCTTCCGCACCCCACAGCAATGGCTCTACCACATGGAACTCCACCACTCATCGACCTGGATCTGCCGCGTGCCCCGCTGCCGCAACCGCACCTTCTACCGACAAATCGCCTTCGAGCAACACGGCATCAACGCCCACGGCTATACCTCCGAATCCCTGCGGACCATCTGCCACGAGTCCCGCCGCCCCTACCCAGCCATCTTCCACCGCTGCCCCTTCTGCGGCCCGCGCTCCGACCAAGACCCCCCCCGCGACGACGACGCCTACCCCGGCAACGCGGCCGCCCACCACGCCGCCCACCGACTGTACCACCACGTCGCCCGCCACCTGGAGGAGTTCGCCCTCATAGCCATCCCTTACACCCCGAGTGAGCCGGTCGTCTACCCTACACCTCCCGCCGGCGGCGGTGGTGGTGGTGGTGGTGGCAGATACAGCCGCCACATCCTGCCCATCCCGCGGGTGGAGGACCACGGCAACTGGGAGTGGATCTTCGATGAGAACCTCCCCGCGTACATGTACCGCCGCGACGTGTTTCCGGGCTCGTCGCGGTCGTCGGTGTCGGCGGCGTCGACGCCGTACTATCGGCCCTCGACGCCCGTGGACGGCCCGGATATCTCGGAGTTGGTGGATGTGGTGGAGAGTGAGGATGCGGATGTGTCGATCTATGAGGACGCGGAGTTGTTTGAGGGGGACGAGGATGGGTTGTTGGACGGGTATGATGAGTTTGTTGCTGGGTATGCGGGGGCACGCGGGTTGACTGGATGGGATGGGGAGAGTTGAGAAGATGGGGTGTTGAGAGAGAGAATTATCTGAGGGGGAGATTGGCTTTGAGGACCCGGAGATTTGAGGGAATGTGGTGGTGGTGGCGGGTTTGTCAAGTGTAGATGATCTGCGGTACCATGTAAAGAGTACATACTCGTTTTGTCGGCAATTTTCGATCTGATGCTGTTTGTTGATTAGTTGGATCGTACGTGATCTATTCTCTGCAGTGTGTGGGGGTAATTGTCCCAGTTGCCTACCGTACAGGCCTCCTTTACCCCGTTCACTGCACGCATATTCATTATATTACCCTTGGCCTTACGGCTAAAAGATCGCTTAACCAATCGGCAACCAAGTGGCATCAAGTGAACTCCCCAGAATCATACAACTCCCATCAACCATCAACACAACACTCATCCCGTACAACGTAACCGAGAGATTAGAACCCAAATGGACCATCATCTAAAGCCCCCAAACAGACACCCTGTCCCCCGAACCCACGGCTCGGGAGACCCAGCACTAATGCAGGTCTGAAGCCCCAGGCCATGTGGGGAGGATGGTTGTGGCTGGGGAACGGGGGCTGAGTACTCCCAGAGTCAAACCGACTGGTCCATTACAATCATTGACTTTGACTGAGGAAATAAGTGGAGGGATTGGGTTCGGATGGGCAGGGAGATCTTAGCTCGTGAACGTGTTACGTTGTACACGTAGCTCTAAGACGCGAAGCACTGAGACAAAAATCATGGGTGATATGGAATCTAATTCTAAGGACAACAAGAATAATCTATCAACGCGATAACAAAATCACAAATTGCGCAATATGTAGCAGGCAGTATATGCAGGAGATAAAAACGGCCATCCCTGAACCCCTGTCATGTAAATGCAACCTCAAGCCGCACCAAGTGCCGAAACAACCCCCTCGATCTCACCCGTAATCTCCGTCAACAGACTATGCACCTCTTCTTCATCCAGAATGGCCCCCTCAACCCGCACACCAAATCCAATCGAGTCAGTCTTGGAATCAGGGCCGATATCGATATACACATTCTCGTCAGGAAGGAAGGACGTGTCCAAAGCCGCCACCGACGTTGCCGTCTCGGGCAGCGGCTCCGATGGGATGAAGTCCGTCGGGACGCCGATCTGCAACGGCAAGAACAGCTCACCGCTCTCGTCTACGTCCGCGTCCGGCGCGGTGTCATTGGCGGACGGGACAGCGTTCTGCATCCAAAGCAGGTTCACCCAGGTGTTGAATAGATGGCCGCCGGTTTGTTGGGTGCTGGACCACGAGAGCACGTCTCGGAGCGAGCTTTGCTCGTACGACACACGTTCTGCGAGGGCCGACTGGATGGCTCGTGCCTGCTCGGCAAGAGCATCAGCCGGAGAGGCGTCCTCGCCTGGCGCGACCTCGGGAACGCGGAATGGATTCACATTGAGACATGGGCCGGATAATCTGTCGATGTTTTCGAAGGACGCAGAACGGCCAGTCTGGTAAAGGCCCATCGTAGGAGACGACACCCCGGTGAGTCGAGCGATGCTGCGAGAAACCGCGAGGAGAACCACCGTCTGCAGGCTGATGCCTGCTGCCCGACAGCTGCTTTCCAATTTCGACAAGCCCTTGATCTTTTCCCAGGCACCGACGAATAGCTGCTCGGGCACCTCGCCTCCGCTGCTGTGGGATTTCTTGATCAGAGTAGGGGTGGCTGACCCCACAGCTGACGACCAGTATCGCTTTTCATCGAGCTCACGGAGAGAGCCAAGCGAGAAATCCACGAAGGCCGGGAAGTCAGGGTTGCTGTCGAGTTCCTGACCACGGTAAAGCTGGGCAAGCTCAGTCACAAACATTGGCATGGTCCACGCATCGTACGCAGCGTGGTTGATCAGCACGAGAATACCATCACGATCACTGGCTTTCAAGAGCCGCAGACGAACAGGAGGCGTGGACAGGGAGGACGGAAGCAGCGCCTCTTCCCTGGCTTGAACCTTGGCAGCTTCCGTGATAGGGCAGGGATATTCAATGACCTTGAACTTGCTTGTGTCACGCATCGCTTGCTTCAGGACAACTTGTACGGCGTTTGTGGCAGAGGTC